TTATCCCTTGGAGAGCTCTGATGAACAACTGTTCTCCCAGATCCTGATGTACCCCACCCCCTTCTTATATACTTATAGGCTGCCACCAAGTCGCCCCTGAGCCTTCTCTTCACCAGGCTGAAGAGTCCCATGTCCCTCAGCCTCTTCTCGTAAGGCTTGGTCTCTTGGCCTTTGATCATATGAGTGGCTCTCCTCTGAGTTCTCCTGAGTTTATCCACATCCCTCCTGAAGTGGGGGGCCCAAAACTGGATGCAGTTCTCCAGCTGCAGCCTCACTAAGGCCGAGTAAAGTGGGAGGATGACATCCCTGGTTTTGCTCGAGATGCATCAGTGGATGCATGCTAGAGTTTGGTTTGCTGTGCCAGCCACAGTATTGGGGGCTTATGTTCATCTTGTGGTCAATCAAGATCCCCAAGTCCCTTTCGGTTGCGGTGCTAGTGAGCATAGCACCACTGAAGCTATAACTATGATGCTGGTTTTTTCTCCCAAGGTGGAGTACCCTGCATTTTTTTACATTTAATGCCATCAGATTTAGGTCTGCCCACTTTGCAAGCATGTCCAGGTCAGCCTGTATCCCCAGCCTCTCTTCCAGAGTGACCACCTTCCCCCATAGTTTAGTGTCATCCATGAATTTTTCCAGTCTGCATCTGATGCCCGAATCCAGGTCATTAATGAAGATATTGAAGACTACCAGCCCAAGCACTGAGCCCTGGGGGACTCCACTGGTAATCTGGCACCACATTGATTTCTTCCCATCAACTAGTACCCTTTGGGTTCAACCCCGGAGCCAGTTTCCCAGCCATCGGACCATGAGATGGTTGAGGCCACAGTTCCTCAGGTTGGTCATGAGGATATCATGGGAGACCAAGTCAAAGTTCTTCTTGAAGTCCAGATAAATAACATCAACTTCATCTCCCTTGTCTAGGCAATGCACCACCTGGTCATAGAAGGAGATGAGGTTGGTCAGGCAAGACCTTCCAGTAATAAAACCATGTTGGCTGGCATTCAGTAGGTTGCCTTCCATTAGCCTGTTGCAGATGTATCCTTTGATAATTTTCTCCAAGATTTTTCCAGGGATGGAAGACAGACTGATAGGTCTATAATTCCCTGGATCTTCTGTCTTCCCTTTCTTGAAGACTGGGACCATGTTGGCTCTTTTCCAGTCTTCCAGTACATCACCCAAGCGCCACAAGCTTTCAAATATCTTGGCCATAGGGCATGCTATGATGTCCACCAGCTCTTTTAAGACTCTCAAGTGTAATCCATCTGGGCCCATGGACTTATGGATGTCAAGCCTCTCGAGGTGTTCTCTCACTTGATCTGCGTCAGTCGTGGGCCCATCTCCCAAGCCCTGGTTGCTTTGCATCCTATCTGACAGTGTGACCCCCTTGGGCAGGTAGAAAACTGACACAAAATAATCAATTAGGAGATTGGCCTTTTCTTGGGTGTCAGCTGCCCCGCTTGATCTTGCAGGGGACCAATGTTGCTTTTGTTCTTCCTCTGACTTCCCACAGATTTGCAGAATGACTTTTTGTTATACTTGATTCCAGTGGCTAACCTGAGTTCGGTTGCTGCCTTGGCTTTTCTGGCCCACTCCCTACAGGTATGGGCTAGTGCGGAGTAGTCCTCCTTGGTGATGATTCCAGTTTTCCATCTGGTGTAGGCTTCTCTGTTTTGTTTTAGGAGACCCACAAGTTCCCTGTTGAGCCAAGGGAGCTTCCCTGCCCTCTGACTGCATTTCCTGTGGGACAGGATGGACTTCACTTGTGCTTTGAGGATTAGGAACAACCATTCCTCATGGACTCCCCTTCCTAGGGGGCCGTGGCCCTTAGTGCCTGACTAAACAGTCTCCTGAGTCTGTGGAGGTCAGCCTTCCCAAAGTTGAGGATTTGCCCATCCTCTGTTGGACAGAGAAAGTAATCAGATCATGGTCACTGACACCAAGCTTGCCCTTGATCCTCAGATCCCACCCCAACCCCACCTCAAGGGGGATTGCTTGGGGGATGAGAGGGAAACCTCCTAAAACAAGACACTGCCCATCCCACTATTGTGTATGTCAAGCAGCTACTTTCAGTGCTGGTAAATACCAGCTACATCTCACACCCGTGTCTGTGCTCTGCACCAAACATGCCCAATCTCAGCTCCATCTCACACCAATATTTTAGCCCTGCATCGAGTGTGCCTGGTCTCAGCTCCATCTCACACCCATGTCTGTTCCCTGAACAAAGCATGCCTTGTCTCAGCACCTTCTCACACCCATGTGTGAGCCCTGCATGGATCAGGCCTGGTCTGAGCCCTCTCACACCCATGTCTGAGCCATTATAGCTGCAGGACAGTCTAGGATCCCATTGCTAAAACCTCCTAGCTCAAGTGGCTACTTGAATTTTAAAGTTGGCAAATACCAAGGTGATAATTGAGTACTTTGCACTTGCAGTAACAACACCTGCTTTATCTATTTTACCTCACTCACACCCACACAGAACAACAAAGCATGGAGATAAGAAAATGCAGGCTCTGGAACTACACCTGATGGACAAATTACATAACTCTCAATGCAGGTGGACCATAAATCACATTTGCATGATAGACATTACAAACCAGTCACAGAGCCTGTTTCAACTACATCTGGTTCAGCTAAACTATGTCCATCAAACTTCTGATATCAAGCCATGATCAGGCCCCTAAATGAGATTTAACCTCATGCACATGTGTCATGTTACGGGTTGTAATACATTATTGGGTTGTGAAGTGTAATGTCTATTGTGGCCTTCAGAGACCTAGAAGACAAGAAAATATAAATTCCCTTTTGGAATGAACAAATTATCCCGTACTTACATTATTTAACAGAAAATAATTATTTTCTTCAAAGAAAATGTAATGTATGGTCATTTTATTTTATCAAAAATAATGTCAATGAGCTACCACATTTGACACCAGCGTGTCATATATAGCAAATTAATTTTGTATCAATTGATTTAGTTTCATGTCAATGGCAGGTGGCTGAACTATGACAATTAGTCTCCTGACTTTTGCAGTAAGTGGAGGGAAAAATATGCCACCTTAACTCATGCGTTTGAGATGTGTTTTACTTCTGTCAGTTTTCCTTTGCTGTAAATTAGCAACACTACACAACA